CAGAAGGGAAACTTGATATGACCACTGAAATACTCCTGCTGAGCAGAACAGAAAGGTGAACGCGGTTTGATTTCTCATGAAAGAAGGTGTAGGAAGCTCTGCGTTCTTCATCTGCTGACCTTTAAACATTTGTTTTGAATTCAGAGTGCTTCCTCTGTAAATATTTTGCATGCTAAAATGAAAAAAAAAAGAAAGCCCAAAACACAAAAAAACCTGCTTCCTTTTTTTGTTACCCTTACGGTACAAGCAGGCTGCAGTCTGGGGGCTGTGACTCCGCATGCAAGGTGATCTCGGCTGCTCTCCCAGGACCACCGTCTGTTCGATGTGGCTTTCGCAGAGGAGGACCACGCGCTCTCCGCCATCCCCCCGTGCTCTCGGGGCACAGACTCACCTGCTGGGACTCCTGTGAGTCGCCATGTAAGCAGGTTGGGGCAGAATTAAGATTTCTTCTCTCCTCCAGCCAGGCCCCAGGCTGGGAGCTGGACCCATGGGAGCTCTGGCTATGTACCCGGTGGGCTCGCTGCTGGACTAGCCCAACACACCCATGGAAGAGGATAGTCTGGCACCTTGGAGACTGGTTAGACCAGCTGGGCACTCGTGGTTTGGGCCGTGTTGAACAGCCTGTGGGCCTGGATGAGGAGAGCTCTGCTTGAAGTCCCTACCAGCCCTTAATTTTGCGAAGCACAGCTGGGTCTTGCTGTCTACGGGCTTCCTGCTGCTCTCTGCTGGTACGCAGGATGGCAGGCTTTTGAAAGTAAAGATACTCCACTTTTGACATGTAGCTTGTAGCTAACATATTTTACATTCACCTTAGCCATAGTCAAGACTTTTATCCCCTTCGGTGCCATCTTCACCTAGTTCTGCAGGCAGTTTGCATCGTGTGTTTGGTTAGTTTAAGGGTTTTTTTAAGACTTAAACTGGAGCAGAGAATTTCCACTCTGCGATTATCACAGCACTAAAATCCTTTAGAAAATCTTGCTATATTCTGGGCTGAACTTTTAATATATATTTTTTTTTTATGTGGAAGTCACATTTGCTGCTCAATTCTGCAGTGTTGATCCTGGACTGGGATGTCCAGAGGTGCCAGGAGCCAAGTGCAGGGATGGGTCTGCATAGAAAGCAGCCCTAGCAAAAATGAGCAGTGTCCTCCTCACTGTGAGAAGGAGCTGAGCCTGCTACAGTGGCAGCTGGGGTTGAACTGAAGTCCTGACGTACCTGCTGCCCTCTCAGGTTGAGAAACAAGTACTTCACTCCCTCCTGGTAAGTAGGCTGGAGGGAACAGAAAGCAGTAATAGGCTTCGGCCACTAATGCCTGCTTTGTTTTCCCATCAGCTAGCTCCCCAGACCTCAGTTTCCCTCCTTCTTAATGCTGTACCTAATGCATGCATGAAATGTTTTGAGGCCCTCGTTTGAAAACAAGTTTGTGAGGGAAAAGTGTTAGTTTTTATTTTACTCACGGATATATTTTGATCGTATTATGGACAGTAAAATATCAATTGGGCATTTGTTAGTCTACCAGAGAAGTCACTGCCTGAAGGGAGGAGAATGTAGGACATTTTGAGTCTGAATAGATGAGAAAGCTGCATTAACCAGTGCAGTTTGTTTCTGATCAGTGTCTCTAGTTGCAAAAGGCTGTAATTGTACAGTAATTCACTGCCACCTTATTTCTAAAATCCCTGCAGATGATTCCCACCAGACAGACTGCTTTGGTAAGCAGTTCATTACAATACCTCACAAAAGCTACAGCAGAGAGCAGGGCGAGGACAAAATGAAGCAGAAGTGATTTACTGAGCAAGCAATGTCATCACTCTGCTGCTCATCATGTCTTTGCAAGACAGAAATTTGTTGGTTGATCTTACCTTACAGAACAAACAAGATGAAGTGGCAGAGGCACAAAAAGCAGTCCTGGCTCTCTGGGTCCAAGGCACATTTGCAGGCGTGCATTAGATCTTTTTCTGTCTCCGGTGGCATGTGCTTGTTGGCAAGTTAGTGTTCTGGCATGCAGCATATCTCATAAACAGCTACCTGCTCGTGGCATCTATTTAGGTAATCAAATCAGTTACTTCCAGTTTGCCATCCTCTTTATTTATAAAGCCTTCTCTTGTGAATTATGCAAAAATGTAACTTGTTTTTTACTGATAAAAAAATTCAGATTAGTCTGACTCACACCATGTAGAGCAGTAGCTGGAGTCACTTCTTCTAGAGTCGTGGAACCAGAGGAAGCCACAGTGCTGTGAAATTACAGAAAAGTGTGTGAGCGTGAGTGAGTGTGTGTGCACATGCACTCCAAGGAGAGCTCTGCAGTAGTTGCTAAACAGAAAGATGAGAAGAATTACATGATAATCTCAAGGACAGAAAAGTGAAACTCTGTAATCCCCACAGGGCAAATACTCTTTGGCTCTGTTATCAGTCCAGATTAAATCCCTGGGTGTCCATACTCAACCACTTTCAGTTAAGTCAGTGTTTGCCTGTTGCTCAAACAAGCACTCGTCTCATCTGAGTTTTTGTTCATGGCACAGAATTCTCTTTGGTTTTAAAACTTTAATAATAAATGATATTTTAAAAAAACAGTACAGCTTCTGTACAAGGAAAGGCGTATTGCTTGCAGCTATTTAATTTCATAATTTAAAATTTCCTTTTTTTCCTCCATTTTAATGTCAGTACTGAGGTATTTGCTAATGGGAGAACCAGTGTAGCATTAGATATTCTGCCTGATCTTCCTCCACCCAGTTTTGCCACCACCCAAAACATAGGAGCAAGCAGCAGCCTGCCCTGGCTAGCTTGAGGAGTTCACTGCCTCAGGAAGTGATCAGATCACATCTCTGTCAGGATCTCCTGTCTTCTTGGGAATGAGAAATGCTACTCCTGAGAAAAAAAAGGGCATGTGTTAAATGCCAGAGAGAAGACACAATGCGTTGCACCTCATTTGAAAATTCCTCCTGCGGGCTTTGGCACTCTCTGCCAAGTTAAAAGGACCGATCCCCGAAAGACGTGAGAAAAGCATAATGAGAGAGCATTTCTGGGAGGGAAAAACCCTACACAGAGAGGATGCACGATGGTCTGCATAGATGCGAAGAATACTGCACTATCTCTTCTGCATGCAGGGGTGGATGAACAAACGTGAGAGACTGCAATAGCTATCTTGCCTAAGCCTGGGAATATGTGCATTGCTTTGGGCAGTATTAATGGGAAACCCAGACTCAGCTAAACTCCACAGCAGGATGGGGGGGGGGGTTCACACAGCACAAGAGGACTCATCTGGCAGTAGAGCCCATGAGCAAATACCACCGTACAAATAGCAGATAATAATAGTAGCTTCTTCAGTGCTCACTATTGTCTGAATTTCCTGATGGCATAGGGAAACCTCAGGCATCAAAATGTAATGGTGCAGGAGCCAGGACGTAACACTTCTCCCCAGGTGTGACCTGACTGTAGAGCCCCTCCTGTGATGCCACTGACAGAGCCAGAAGAGCACCAGGCAGCATGGTGCTCCACTTGGTTGCAGAGTGTGTGCAGTGGACAGGGGAGAGCAAGGTGCATTGCTCCTTAGCAGCAGGCAGGTTTGACCGGGTATATCAATGCTGCAGATTTGGAAATCTAAATACTTTGTGCAAAAAATATAAAAAGTTAGGTCCACAGTTTTTATGCTCGTCAAGCTTACTTGAACCTTCTAGTCTGACCAAGTGACATAAGAACTGCCATAGACCTCAACTTTTGAGGCTGCCTTGATGATTTTAAAACACATTTTTTAAAGAATACTGACTTCACAAGACAAGGACAAGTAACAGAGAATCTATAATTTCAGATGCAATGTTCCTTATTTCACACACCTTGCCTAAATGGTAGCTTGCATTGTCCACATGTGTCTACACATCAATTTTAAGTTGCTTGGTTTGGTTGCAGCCATGTGATAGTCACGAAAGACCAAGGCAGAGCAGGAACCAGAGGATTCACGAGTAGGACAAGGTCACAAAGAAGTTAGAGAGGAGATAAGATGGAGCTGGGTAGAGGCACAGGGATATATGATGTAGGCATAAAGTAAGATATACTAAACCCCAAAGGAGATCGGGTCTTTCTTTGCTCTATTTTTCTGAAAGCTGCTTGTTTCACCCAGTATTCATCAGAGCTTTTGAAGGGCCAACAAGCTACAATGGTAGATAGTGGGCAAGCATGTTCTTGCTGTAAAACAGTGAGGCAATTCCTTCTGCAGAGCTCCTCACTGCTGAGGCAGAAGCCTTTGTTCCTTACATCAGGTGGATGTCTTTTGTTATCTGAACCTATCCCCTTTGTAATTGCACTAATTAATAGCACTGCAAATCTCTTGATGTTTCTCATTTGCAGAACACTGTCACCTTGCATCTCACTTTGATGAGGTGAGGGTGAATCTGCTGTTTACGATTCAATTCAACTCGTTGATTCCTCTGTTAGCAATGACCTGTTAAGAGATGAAGTATGAAGTCAGCATGTGCACCAAAATACCAGCCCTGACTGAGAACACCCATCAAAATCTGTGCGCCCTGCCTGGGTTTGTCTGTGCTCAGAGCTCCTGTGCGTGTAACAAACACAGCGAGACAAGAGGAAATCCCGAGGAAGTCGGAAGAGGGAATTGTCCCGATTATGTTATGTTGATGACAGCTCTTTATGAACTCGATTCTCGGAGTGTCCAGCTGTCAGCATCAAAACTCTGCATGTTGTTTTCAGCTGAAGTAGATGTCTCCCACTGCTCCTGAAAACTGAAAGATCATTCCTGTAGTAATGAAGTAAAAAACATTGACGTTACCATTCCAGACTTTCACCAGGGGATACGACTGCAGTCCAGTTTAGAAATCTGAGTTCAGAATAACTTCCTAGAAGCCAGCAGAGTTGCTCCAGCTTTAAGGCTGTCTCCAAGTTAATATTTCAGCACATTTCTGGCCTTTTTCTCATAATGATTTGAAGTGACAGCATGTAGATTTCAAGTGTCCACTCAACTTTCTTCATTTTCTCTTTTTGTTTTAAAGTATATTCGGTGCTGTTCGAACTGGTGCTTATATGCTGTACATTTTGATGACCAAAGGCCTGAAGCAGTCAGTGTGTGACCAGAGTTTTTACATTGGACCTGTCAGCAAATTCTGGGCATATGCATTTGTGCTAAGCAAAGCACCCGAACTAGGTGAGTACCCTCTCTCCCTTTCTCTCATTATGCATATTTAGAGCAGAAATGTCTGTGCAGGAAGTACAAGAAGGGTCTCAGTGCTGTTGAAATACGTTTTAGTCTTAGAAAAGTGAGTAAACAAAACCAGCCCCAAACTTTGCATGTTCTAGTCTCTAGAGATTAAGTTCAGCTTGGCTGAAGTTAGAGAAATGTGCAGTTGAATAAGACCATTCCCAGCCCAGGAATAAACTGCAGTAATTATACACAGCAGGGCAGTCAAGAGGCTAGAGGAATCTGGTCCATACCTTTTCCTCAGCTACTCGTAGGCAAATACGAGTAGCGTAATCAGCAGTCACTCACCCCATGGGTACAGAACTGAAGGGTGGGCTACAGCAGCTGTGTCAGCAAGAAGCTTTGAGTCAGGTTCTGCCGCCATTCTGCAGCATTCGTCCTTAAATACACATGTAGGCGTACAGTTATGAACAGTAAAGTGCTTCCTCCCTAAACATTGAAAGCTGTGGCTGTCTGCTTCCTTCAAATAGAAACCAGTTTCCCATAATATCCCTAGCTTTTCCAGTCCTGATTCTTATAAACTCCTGTCTCTCCAGCAGTTTTTTTGGTAAGGATACTTATGATATACATGCCAAAGCCAACTTAATAGCCAGTCTGCATGTGTTCTCGTCCCGTGGCTTATTAGTGGAAGAAAGGATTGTTTTAATGGGAAGGAGGAGGCAGCGATTCAGCAGCCCTCTAGCTTTCATTTCAGAGGATGCCCTTACTAAACCTCAAAGGTCTGCAGCACTTACTGTGTTCAGGTGTACAGCAAAAATAAGTCTTTACCTTTCAGCAGAGAATTTGATTCAGCAAATTACAGGACAGCAATTCATCAGCATAAAAACTGGAAAGAGAGAGACACCAGTTGCCTTGGTGTGTCAGAATCCCTTGGTTTCCTGCTGCTTAAATTACTGCAAACCCATGAAAATTTAGTGGTTAAAACTGGAAAAAAAACAGCTAGAACTGCACAGCAACAATAAATTGAACATATGATTACTTATTAAAATGTGAGTCAACATCTTGCAGCTAACGAAGCAAACAGTAGTATTACGGCTTGTTACAGACCTTGTGCAGACAGTGCAGTTTTGGTTCCACCCATCACTAATATTCATGATTTGGATTTCCTGGGATACAAATACGTAGAAATAAGTCCCCAGATTCCAAACTCAGGGACCTTTTTGGAAACTGTCTTTAACAACAGAAAACAAGTAGTGTGCATATATACATATATCTAATTGAGATGCCCAGTGCAATCGTGAGAAGCAGAAGGAAGAAAAAAGCAGGAAAGAGGGATAAAATTTACTTTTCTACAATAGCAACATGTTTTTGCAGAAAAGGATGTGCATTTCAACATAAACCAAATTTCTTTCTAGAACCATTTTTTTCTGGCAATTACATGCCTTTCAGTACTGCAGGTTGCATATGCAATAGCTTTTTGCATAGTAGCTCAAAAGGCGCTACTGAGTTTAACTAAGTTCAGTTTGCAGGTAGGCATTTGAATCGGAGGACACCGTGCTGCTTCTTCTTCAGGCTTTCTGCTCTCTGTCGAGCTGCATTTCTCTTCTAGTCACAGTATATAACGGACAGTCTCACAGTTGGAGGTGATACATGTACATCCACCCACCTCACGTCAGACTTTCAGAGATTATGTTTGCAGCAAAGGGCTACCAAGTAAACCTGTGGAGTTTTCGAACAGGGCTTTTCCACACAGGAAAATGTGGATATGTTGGTTTTCCAAAGATTGCACAGAGATGAGGAGCCAAGCTGGCTCTCAGATCAGACAGGGTCTCAGATCTAGAGCCGAGGTGGTTTTCCATGCTCCAAAATAGTGTCTACTCCAGCAACAGCAAAGGGAAAAGAGCACTGCAGTAATTATGGAATTGTTCAATATGTTTCTCATTTCCTTTCCTCCCCTCCTTTTTTTTTTTTGTTTTTTTTTGTTTTTTTTGTTACAGGTGATACAATATTCATTATTCTTAGGAAACAGAAGCTCATCTTCTTACACTGGTACCATCACATTACTGTGTTACTTTATTCTTGGTATTCCTACAAGGACATGGTGGCTGGCGGTGGCTGGTTCATGACCATGAACTATGGAGTACACGCCGTTATGTACTCTTACTATGCCTTGCGGGCTGCTGGCTTCAGAGTCTCACGCAAGTTTGCCATGTTCATCACCTTGTCGCAGATCACTCAGATGTTGATTGGTTGCGTGATCAATTACCTGGTCTTCTCCTGGATGCAGCAGGGCCAGTGCCATTCCCACGTGCAGAACATCATCTGGTCCTCTCTCATGTACCTCAGCTACTTTGTGCTCTTCTGCCATTTTTTCTTTGAGGCCTATATCGGCAAAACCAGAAAAGAAAGGAAGGTTGACTAGTGGTAGAAACAAGCAGCTATAGCTCAGGGTCATCAAGAAAAACAAAATTATAAGAAAAGAAAATGGCACAAGGAAACACATATATGTATGGTGCAGCTAAAACTTGGCAGCTTAGGGTAAGTTAGCTTGGTTTAACCCAGTAAGTTTATGATCCTATCATGGTGAGGACTCACTGAATTCTACTCTATCTCAAAGGACTGCTGATGAAAGACAACTTCCTTCTTGTACCTGTCTGCTCTAGAAAAGAAAGGAGAAAAGAAAGAAGAGAAAAAAGAAAAGAAAAAAAGAAAGAAAAAAAGAGAAGAAAAGACAGAAGAAAAGAGAAAAGGAATAAAGTTGAGGGAAAAAGAAGTTTATTAAATAAGCAGCGTGTTTCCCCAGGGTGGAGGAGAGACTTTTATTTTTTAAAAAAAAGTTTCTAAATCCTTTCTAATAATTTTTCAGCAGTAAACTTGAACAAAGCAAAACAGAGAGGTGACAAATAACCTGTCTATGATAACAGTAAGATTGCAAAACTAAAATCTTTTCCACAGAAGGTTGATACCTTTAGCCAAAATGAAACTCAAAGGGATGTTTCCTGCATGGAAAGTGGCTGAACTCCACGCTGTGGTCATGAATGGAAAAGAGAAGAGATTGATTTCTCCGCTATGTACTCTGCCAGGGGAGCAGATCTGGGATGCAGAGTCGCCTCCCTCAGAAGGCGGAAAGGAGCAGTACTTTTACAAGAGTTTAATGTGAAAAGATGCACTGTTGCAATACATATCTCAGAGAGTGCATTTTCCAAGTGCATTTTTCAGTTAAAGGCAAGGAATTTCTGCAGCAGGCTAAGTCATAGAGGGTTAAATCAATCAATGTTTGCTAAATTACCAGGGGCTAATAGCAGAGGGATGTTCAGGAAGGAGAGGGAGACAACTCCCCTCACGTGATTTTTAGGAATTATCCATTAATCTCAATTTAACCCACAGCAACACTGAATTAAATGGGGGAAATTGGAAGAAATCCTAGTTAGCGAGAAGAGAGTGATATATCTGCCCATTGTTTGGAGAACAAAGCCCTGTGGTACGATATGGATTCTGTATTTTTGTGGACACAAGAATACCTGCCTGGGTGGGAAGAGGTGGCAGGACTGCGCGACATTGGGTAACACTGTGCTTCTGCATCTGCCTCCTGGGCAGTGCAAAGATGTTCAAAGTGCCCTCCTCTGGTCATGTGGAGATACTACTACAAAACATACTTGGAATAGGTTTTTCTTGAGATTTGTATAGAAAAAATTAGTCTAAATGGAGTAATGTTGCTGCAACAGCTTAACTCTAAAGTCCAGAGAGAATTATCCTTCATTAAATATATATCTCTCTCTCTGCAGAATCTGTACTGTAACATCAGACTGACCACTTAAGAAGACACTCTTTCTTCTCTGAAGTCAGCTGCAGATATAAGGAGAAACGTATTTCACTCTGAACCTTAGAGAGTTAGTTGAGAACAGCCATATTCTTTCAAAGACAAGTAGATTGCATTATCTGTGATATTCCAGTCCTTACAAAGCCAAATAAAATGTGTAAAAGTTCCTAGTATTTCAAAGACGCAAGTATGTAATCTTGATGTTAAATGTGTTAATGTAGTATTCTAAATTGTATCAGTTAGGTAGTTTAACTAAACAATTAGAAGAACTAGATCAACAAAATAGGGACTGCTGTTCTGCATAGGATATACACACACCTATAACTACACCCATATACACATTCTGTGAATTGTCAACAAGAAAAAAAAGCCCAATGGCAGAGAATCACGTTTCCTGGCTAACGCAAAAGATTGTCATTATCTTTCTTGCTTTAATTTGAGACTGTACAGTACAAAGGGTTTTTTTTTTTAAATTATGATTTTTAGCTTTAATTGTGCTGTCATTCATGGAACAGAGCTGCTTTAGTATCCTGTTAAGAGATGACAAGGGCTTTCGGTGTCTCATTATATACAAAAGAAAAACAAATAAAGTTACATTCCATGTTATGTGAATGGTCTTACAAATCAAAAAGCCTTTGCAGGCTAAAATCATAATTATAACAAGCAGAAAATGAGTTTACATTTGTGTTATTTAAGTTATTGATGTGCTGACGTTATTTTATGGTACACAACAAATAGCAACATGTGATATGCAGTAATGAAGCTATGATATTCATTAATAGGACTACTGTATACGTGGAAATATTAGACAAAACCAATTAAATGTGTAAACCATTTTGTTATACAGCTTGGGAGCAGATAATTATAATGCTGAATAAGCCTTTTTCCTCATGTTTAATTTTGCCCTGGCTAAGAAGCAGGTTAAGACGACCAGTTAAGAGTGGAAAAGGCAAAATTAAAGCGTTGGTAGAAGCCCACCATTGTGCCATTTAGAGCCTCAGTCCCGCGTATCGTAGGTCTCTCAAATAAAGCAAGAGAGGGTGGAAGTGGCCCAGCGTCTGGAGCTGAAGCCGGAGCAGAAATCTTGGACCCTGTGAAGTCAGTGGAGGCTTTGCTCTGCTATGAACAGAGCTAGTGTGTCCGACTGCCTTTTATCTGAGCAGAGGGGAAGGAACCACACACGTCTCCTGCTAATTTGAGGCTTATGGCTAATGACTTTAAAAGCCCCATAAACTTTATCAATAAGAAGCGACACCACAGCAAGGCAAGCAAGGACTCCGCAGCTTAAGTTTAACACAGGCAGAAAACAGAGTGTGGTGCAAACAACCTGCCATGTTTCATACACTATTTTCCTTAATTGCATAAGAGGAAAAAACCCACACCTGTGCATGCTGGATGGCAATGCTGGCAATGCCGACACTGACTTCAGAGGAGCAAGAATTTCACCCGCTCTTATTCCACCCAAATTTCATCCAAAGCCCTCGTGGGTACCGCTCCACCATTCCCAGCGCCTGCTCCCTGACATGCCCACCGCCCCACCAGCCGGGGCCGGGCAGGTGAGGGCCACCTTCCTTACTGCCTGGGAAGCGGCTCCCATGCAGAAACCAGCCTGAGCGACCTCCTCAAAATGCAGTGCAGGTGTTCCCCGGGCGTGCAGGGGGAACTCAGTGCTGAATTCGGTGGCCGTCCTGGCGGGCGATAAGGCTGCCGGCAAGCATATGTGTAGGGAAGGGGCAGCAAGATCAGGCACGCAAGGGACAGTGGTAAATTAGAGTACATTTATCATCACGCTGGAAATCGGCTGTCACACTGCCATTTGCTTCAGGAGATGACACATCACACGTGCATTTACACAGGTCCTGTGGCCCTACTGTGGCATTGGGCCTTCCCTCTGAGGTTTTCCACTGGAGTCAAATGTGGTAATTGGCATTAAAGAAATTGAGGATAAGACCAAAACCAACTTACACTGTTTTTCTTACTTTTTTTTTTCTTCCTAAAACATGCACGTATGATATTTAGACATCCCATTTAACCCACTGACATGCACTTAAACACTGAGCCAGTCAACCCTAATGTAATGACACCTCAACAATACTCCAGCTGTTCCAACCTACAAGCCACAAATATAAACACAGCTAATTGAGTCCTATTTATTTCCCCTGGTTTGAGCCTTGGGGTCACACTTTGAAATTTTTCTGTCCACTACCAGAACCTTTTCTTCCTAATTTTAAATAAAGCTGTAATTCTGTTGCATTCACACACGCCATGGGGAACTCAAACTTTATATAAATTACCAAGCATTATGGGACCCGTGACAACCACCACAGATGCTGGAAATGCTGTTACAGGATTCACTAAAGTCAAGAGAGTTACGCTGGTGATAAGGTCAGTCTGCCAGGGTCGAAGTCTGTGTTTTATGTTTCGATGCATTAGTTCAATGTACTGAAATAAAACCAGAAAGGTTAGTATGGATTTACACTTAGGCAGCTGTGAGCAGAATTTGGCTCTTCCTGAGCACAACTTTTCTGTAGTGAATGCTTTAAGGAAAATATCTTCAGCTAGTTAGTGGAAGAACAAAAATCTGGGTAATTCTGCAGCCTCTTTAATTTGTGCCTGTGATGGGAAGGAAACCCCTCATGCTTACAGACCTTCTGTAACTTGCAGTCACAAATTATTTACGTCTGGGCTCACTGATAACGCCCAACTAAAAGCATCTGGCTCGAAAAGAGACCTCTCACCAGAATCTCACAATAAACCAATGCAAGCTTTTACTTACAAGATAAGGGCCAAAGCGTGCAAAAGGAATCACTCGAAAGAGCCAAGCTGGGTAGTAGGAATACAGTATCGAGCACAAGTTGCCAGAGACGCAAGGAGGGAGAATACCTATTCCATATCCCAGGAGAAAGCATTTCCAGGCTGAACGCTCCCTCCTTCCCAAGATGAGGAAAGGCAGAGCAGGAGGAGGGTGGGCTGCAAAGTGCCAGGCGCTCAGGATGGGGTGGCTGGTGGAATAAGGCTTGTGTGAAGGGGTCCCTGCTGTGGAAGTTAATTACGCAGTGGCTCCCTGAGTGCAAGCATGGGTCCGTGGATTTGTTTGGAGGAACATCTGTTGTCTAGCAACTTGTGACCTTCACGGCCTGGGTGTATTTCATTTTTCTCTTCTGAAAATAAAAACCTGGGACAACGTATTAGTTAAGAGCAATGGTACCTCAGGAATCAATAGTCAGGGGGGTTTCAGGCAACAAAGCATAAGACACCAATTATTGTGACCGTGAAAGAGCAGCCTTTGTAAGCAGTGCCAGATATAACATATTAGTGCAGTAGTATCTCTAGTAGTTGTAGTCTATCCTGTACTTCAGAACCAGTAACAGAAGTATCACGTGTTTTTATACAAATCATAAATACAGACATACCTTAAGTAATAAAAATGGCTTTGATCAATGAAGAAATCAAAGCGAATTGCAGACCATACCACATAAGTTCAGGACGTGGTCCAATGCCTACTGAAAGTGAGATTGTTGGTGAGAAGTCCAGTGACTTCAGTGAGCTTTGCTTCAGCCTGCTGCAGCCCAGTTGCAGAGGGCGATGCAAGACCTAAATCCCCTTGTTGTTTACTTCATGGTGACATGAACCACTCGGGGCATCGCTCAGGCCCTGACAGGGCTCTTCAGTCATACTTTGCAGCCTAGCGTCGGCGAGCTCTCTAAAAGGGAAGAATTAAAACTAAGAATAGTCCATGGGTTTCTACTGTTTTACTTCAATACATTTTTCCATTCCATTTATTTTATTAAAAGCAAGCTAAAGGACAAGTCCCTGATCCTGCCGTCGTAAATGCCCCGTTGCGGTCAGTGCAGCTACACACAGGCACAGAAACC